ACCATATTGGTCAGGCTGGTCTTGAACTCCTGGTCTTGTGATCCGCCCGCCTCAGTCTCCCAAAGTGCTGGGATTGCAGGTGTGAGCCACTGTGCCTGGCCACTCTATTTTTTTTTTTTTAATGCAATTCCATGCAAATCAAAATATACTCAGCAAAGCATAAAATTATGCAAGGTGACTTTTTCTATATCCAAACTCAACCTGAAATGAGAGCTACTCTCACACACATCCTTCAGAGTCACTCCTTTGTTTTTTTAAGGCAGGAAAAAAGATTTTGGTTCTTTTTAATGCCTCCTCACAGTTTCCAAAGAAAACCCAGGTGTTGTAGAAAGCTGTTGTCTGTGACTATGTAAAGCAGGCTCTCAGCCAGCATTTTCATTCGGACAATTCCACGGAACAGAACTGCAAAAACGAACTTCCTCCTGCCCAAACTGTCGGAACCCTGACCCGTAACACCAACTCTTCTGGTGGATCAGCTGACTACAAACTGCAACAGAAAGAAGCCCGGGACTCCAGCAGGTAGGAATTCAGAGGAAGCAGCCTTCTTTCTGTCCTTATTATCAACTTGACTAGATAATGCTTGCTACCTGAGGGAGGGAAGGGAAAGAGTTCTTTCTCAATCCTTCCAATTCTGTTGCACCATTTCTGTACAAATCACTCAGGAGCGCTTGCTTCCTATTGTCCCCACCCCCAATCTTCCATACCTTCTATCTCAACCCCTCAGAAATCTCACCATGGCAGGTGAACGAAACAACCACTAGAGCATAGGATGTAGGCCACACCTGTGACGGAGGAGGGCAAACTGCTTCTAGGATCTGTGGGTCGGTCAGCAATTCAAGTGATCTGGCAGGAGGGGAATGGTGCGAAGGAGTCATTTCCATCTAATACTAAAAAAGGAAAAAAGAAGAAAAAAATTGAGGCTGTGGTATTAGCATCTAAATCACCCCATCATCAGCAAATTGAAGGAATTCAACCGTCTATGCTGAGCTTCCAAACATACCTGCTAAGACTGTCTTTTGCCCATTTGAAATTTCTTTCCCCCTTCCAAGGTTAGCCTTGATGTTTATGACCAGTTTTACCTGTATCTTCCTATCGAGCCCCTCCAATTTATTCTGTACACTGTAACCACAGAAATCTATGGAAAGCAAGTCAGATCAAATCACTCCCCTGCTTATGACTTTTCAGTAGCTCCCCATTCTCTTGGTATAAATTCAAAAATCCCACCTTAACATCACCAACAAGAACCCTGAATTCTCTGACCTCTGCCTTCTCTCTCTAACCTCAGGTGGACAACTTTTCCTCTCACCAGGCTCTACCCCACTGGTCTGCTTACATTCCTTGAGTTCCCAAAGCTCCTTCTTTCTTGACAGCTTTCGCACAGGCAACAGTCTCTGCTGGAATGCTTTCACACGCCGTTGCTATTCATCCTTTGGAACTCAGCTTAAATGTCACTTCCTCAGATGAGATCAGGGCTCCCTGTTATTGTCCTCCAAATAGCCCGTATTAATTACATCCTATGGTACTGACAGATGAGGTTAGTAATCACAGAGAATGGCAAAA